AAGTGACAAAATTCCAACAGTTCATTGTTTACCATTCTTACATTGTGCAAAGCTCCTAAAACTGATTAAAATATTATATATACAATTAGAGTGATTTAGGTAGGAAATAGTATTTATGAAGTCAAAAAAAAAAAAAAAAAATTAATAAAAAATTGAGCATACAGAAAGGAAATTCATCAAATAAATTTATTATCCATTTCAATATAATTTGTAAAATGAGAAACAGATAAATAAATAAGGCGCCATATAAAATAAACAAACTATTACCAATTTCTGCAATATCAACAATCTGTAGGTGCGTAGGAGCACCGACCCACTCCACCCACAAAAAAAACAGCAAAAAAAAAAAAACAAAAGTAAAGGAATCCACTTTGCAAAACTGAATATTGATCAAGTGATAATTCTATACCTACCATGATGATAAATTCATGCCTAAGTAAATGCACCAGATTATTGGTATAATAATTATTAATACAGCATTGAACAGTGAAGCAATTAAAAATTGAACAAATGAAAGTATACATGTTAGTACAATTTGGGATCGCTAAGGTCCAATAAGCACTTCTTGTTTTCTTCCTGCTTCCAAAAGTATAATTTTCCTCCTTAATAAATACCTGTATGTGTGTATGTTTTAAAGGGGTAATGCGTTTGCTCGAATTTTACCTGCGCTAGCCTGCGCTAGCTTTAAGGAAGCTTCATATATATTTTTGAAAAATTAAAAATCACTTGTAGGGGCTCATGATTTTTTTTTGTCCACCCTGTATGACAGCTACGATAGCTGCGCGAGCTATGACACAACTTGCGCTAGGCTGCGCTAGGTGTCACGAACTTGCGCTAGCCTTTTGAAAAGGATTTAACAACTGGGGGGGCTAGCGTTGATCTAGCCCCCCCCCCCCCCCCCCCCGAATAAATACCTGTATATGTTTTAAAGGGGTAATGCGGTTGCTCGAATTTTACCTGCGCTAGCTTTAAGGAAGCTTCATATACAGGGTGGGGACTTTAACTGGAACTAATTCGCTAGAGCCTTCGAATAAAATATGTGGACAAAACGCAAAAACACGTCGATCAAGATTTTTTGCTTGAGTTTTTTTCACATTAATTTTTTTAGACAGGGTGTTCCAAGAACAGCTGTACGGTTGTCAACTTCATTTTTCCAAATGGTAGCCCCTGTATATTATAACATTTCTGAATTCTGCAGAAAATTCTAGACATATTTCATTTACAATGTCATATACCTATCTTCAACTGTTTCGGAAATATTGACAGTTGAAAATTGACTTTTTTGCAACTTTGACAGGCTGTAAAACCCTAACGGTTAATTTTAGAGGAAAACCGATTTCACATTCCTATCTTAGATTTTCATAAGCTATCATTTGACACCAACTTTGAATTTAATCCATGATTAAAAATTTCAGTTAAATTCAATCTCCAGTTAAATTCAAAGTTAGTGTCAAATGATAGTTTATGAAAATCTAAGATAGGAGTGTGAAACTGGTTTTCCTCTAAAATTAACCGTTTAGGTTTTACAGCCTGTCAAAGTTGCAAAAAAGTCAATTTTCAACTGTCAATATTTCCGAAACAGTTGAAGATAGGTATATGACATTGTACATGAAATATGTCTAGAATTTTCAGCAGAATCCAGAAATGTCATAATATACAGGGGCTACCATTTGGAAAAATAAAGTTGATAACCGTACAGCTGTTCTTGGAACACCCTGTATAAAAAAATTAATATGAAAAAATCAAAAAATCTCGATCGATGTGTTTTTGCGTTTTGTCCACATATTTTATCCGAAGGCACTAGCGAATTAGTTCCAGTTAAAGTCCCCACCCTGTATATTTTTGAAAAATTATAAATCACTTGTAGGGGCTCATGATTTTTTTTTGTCCACCCTGTATGACAGCTACGATAGCTGCGCTAGCTATGACACAACTTGCGCTAGGTGTTACGAATGTGCGCCAGCATTTTTAAGAAGATCGAATAACTGGGGGGGGCTAGCGTCACCCTAGCCCCCCCCCCGAATATGAAGCCACATATCTTTTGACCTGTAGCTGCGCTAGCTTTCGAAAAAGTTGCGCTAGGTTGCGCTAGCTCTGGAGAACGAGAGCTAGCGTTTTGGATAAAAATTATCCACTGGGGGGGGGGCCAGGTCTACTGAGCCACCCTTCGGTACCTTTTCGTGGCGGCGCGCCCCCGTTTCCATAAATTTCACAGCGCATACATGGTTGCAACATTTACTTTCCTTTAATAAGCGTTTGAAGAATTTGAGGAACAAATAATATTTCAAATAGGTGGTTTTCCTCAGAGTAGTGATTTTTTATTTAATCCTAAGGATGGATACTGGTCTGACCGCAGCGTAGCGATTACTCAAATGCATCCAGATGACCCAAAATTCGAAGAATGGGCACAGAATCTTTTTGATGAGTCAGATTTTGATGAACTTGATAAGATATATTTAGATAGCGACGATGACTTAGATGGACTCAATGCTGGTGCAAAGCAACTTGGGAATTGTCGAGCCCCTGAGGAATTATACGGAGTCTATTATTTTCAGAAGAAATTATTAATGAAATAATTTTTTATACTAATAAACAAAATAACCGTACCGAACCGAACCGAAGCTAAGCTTTCTTTTTTAAAAACAGTTTTAGTTTTATTTGAACCAAATTTTGGCTATAATTAGAGATTTTTTGCCTTATCGCTGTACTTATCTAATTCGTTCACGATGTCTTCAAATGTTGCTGTCCCCCCATTTTGGATATTCATGTCAAATTTATTATAATATGTTGCTTTTTTAAGGAGTTGCCCAATACCTTTTACACATGTACCATGTCCATAGTACGCGATCTCCCAATACTAGTAACATAGGTTTTCTCACATTCCTTGATCTCTCGGTTTGGCTTGCCGATGTCATATTTCTCGCTGTCACTGCTTCAAAACCTCTACCACAGATATCCTTTAGGTCTTTCAAATTATTCTCTATTTCGTGAACTTCGTGGAGACTACTAGTCTGCTGATGGTTTCGTTGATACTTACTTTCTTTATCGTGGATGTCTGACAGTTGTTGTCTGGTTTTTTCCATATAGCGTTCGTTTTCTTTGGTTAGAACTTCAATAGACACAAGCATACTGTTTTTGATATCTTTTGAATCCTTGCATCTTTTTGATATACTATCATTTTTAGCCTTCAACTTTTCCACCTCTTCTTGAAGTATTTGAATTTTTTGTGTATGGTGTAGGATTTCTTGTTCTTGTTTCTTCGTGTTTACCTTCATTTCACTAATTTCCTGGAGGTAGTTTTCTTCGACACCAAACACTACATCAGTGAAATCCTGAGTATTTCTTCTTTGCTTGCGCATCTACGATGTGTTTTTTAATAGCCTCATTCTCCATATGGAGTTGATGTATTTCCTCATGTAACTCCTTGGACTCATTCTTCATCCAAAATTTCAGCCGTTCGATTTCCTTGTCCTTTGTTGCATTTTCTTTTTTCAATTTGCAGTACTTTTCCTGGAGTTGTTCTAGGTCTCTATTTCTGGTGTCGTGGAGCTTCTTGCATTCCTTGGAGCATAGTATTTTTCTGGGCTCCATGTCGGTCCTAGATGTTAATCTATTACTACAGCTATTATGGAATAAGCTTGAGCATTGGACACAGCATACCGTATTGCATGGTTTGTTTTTGCAACACTTATATTTTTGTAGGTTATTTTCGTCTGTAATCTTATTTTCGTTTATTGACATTTTATGTTTTTCTTTCTTTTTTGGGAAGATCAATATTCTGTGAACATTTGTTCATTGTTTATTGTTTATTTGTTTGTTGGTATGCCAGGGTCAATGGTCCATAGTAGGTAAAATAAACATGCTGAGTTTTTGTGTTGCTTGATATTATATTCGCAAAGGTAGCAGCAAATAATTGGAATTCTGATAAAGAGATGAGACATATAATATATCCTTTCTTTGGCGATAGATGTTTTCAATTTTCTGATTCACTGAAATAAATAGTTCCTTCAAAATATCTTTTGGTGTAATTTTCTTATTTATTGAAGCACTCTAAAATGCAAAAAACTCGCGTTTTTTCAGGAGCGAATTGTTAAGCGAACCACACGACCGATACTCAACTTACTTGGTTGGAAAGGTTAATGTTAATCAACCATGTTTATTATTATAAGTAATTATAGTTCCCAAAACATTTACATATGCAAAAACACGTTCTTTAAAACAACTCAATAAAAAACACACTGCAAATCTTATAAAACAGGACAAAAAATGCGAGCGAGATAAACCAGTGCAGTTCGGTTAATCCACCGCGAGCTAAAGAATGACATTGTTGACAGAAGCTCACGTGATCTGTCAGTTGAAGTTACAAAACTGGTCAAATGGGGTTCCGAAGCGCATGTTCTGAGAGGTGATAACTTCCTACACATACGCCCTACGTCAAAATATCATCAATTAGGATCTTTTTTGTCGTGAATTTTGTCTACTTTCCCAATTTCCAGATAGTTTTTTTTCTAAAATTCACCAAACAAAGTTTTTTTTCCAAAAAAAATTTTTTCTTTTTTTCAAAATTTGGGAGGTTTGTGGGGGGATTTTTTGATGGGAAGTTCTACATTCGGATTCAGCGACACCGAAAACATAAAACAAGCATAATAAAATTATGTATTTCCTGGACTACTAGTCATTTCAGAAAACTTTGCGTTATCGATGGTTGTTTGATAATTATTATTATTGCATGCATTTGGTCCGTTTATTTTCGACTAGGCTTTGAACAAAATTAATGCTTCACAGGATAAATTTCAGTTTTGCATCTGATGTGGTTGATATGGACAGATTAAAAATTTAACCTCTAAATTTTTAATCTGTCCATATTAGAGTATTCATTTGAATTGATAACTAGCATTGCGTTCAAATCTTTGCCAAACTAAAATCATTTTCGGCCAATTCCCAATTTTAAGGTAATCAATTCTCATGAATAAAATTAATAACAAATAAGAAATTATTACCCGTCTCAAATCCTCAAGTCTCATTTTCACGTCTTCGACTTTATCAGTGTTATCAATAGTACTTTTAAATAGATTCACGAACCAAACCAAAGAATATTGGTACATTGGATCAATGTTCGCCAAATCGGCAATTGTGAAAAATAAAATCGTCGAGTGGGCCGCTATCGGGGTATATTCCAGACGGGCCTTGTCAATTTGCTTTTCAGTTTCCTCGGCTATGGCTTGTTTGGCAGCTATTTCGTTTGACAATTGCTTGGAAGAACTTAAAATATTCACTGCAGTTTCGTCTTCTAGGATATTTCCTTGCGATGTGCTCAAAACCTCAAGGATTTTGTCTTCAATTTCTTTGAGGGATCTTTGCAAATACATAATTGAGTGATTACAGTATAATTAGAAGAATTTATTCACTTACCGTTTATTTTCAGCACCCTGAATAATAAGGGCATTTTTCTCCGCTTCCAAGTCGGGCCTTTCTTTGGCAACAACAATTCCTAAAAGCTGATCCTCCAGCCCTGCATTTGTTATCATGAAATTTACCAGTGTTACCTTTACGGCAACTTCGGGCAAGTAATGTGGATTACGCAGTTTCGTCGTTATATATAATCTAAAGAAAACGCCCAAAGAAATTTAAACTTAAATTTAAACAAAATATGAAACTGTGGGCTTTTCTTTCATCAACAGGCGTCAGAAAATATTTAATTTCTATAATAAATGAAAAATACGTTCGCTAATGCGATGTCACCATAAAACACTAGAGCCTCGACTATAGAGCAGTAAGGAGCAGTCGAGCTTGGAGAATTTTAGCACAATGACCAGTCGTGCACATAAGGGACTAACTACAGTTTGCTGCAAGCTAGAAGTATCTATGCTGTTCAGATGATACTCTTCTATCAGGTTCATAGATTTGACCGTTCTGGGACCCATTAATTAAAACTAGGTACTTTTAAATTTAAATTTTTGAAAACCTAAATTTCTACTATAATAACTTTCTCAGATTCTTACTTGAAATCCGAACTGTATTCAACGACGGAATCGCCCAGCTTCAAACACATAGTCCCCCCTTGTTTGAATATTTGTTGAGCTAAAACCGGCTCTAAAATTGGATCCAGTTCTTGTCCGACGTTTTCGAGTAAAACCTTGAAGGAAATTTGAGTTAGTTAAATTTTTTAGAATGGATTCGGGTCAAATTAATTACCGGTTGACCAAACTGAATGGCGTTTTCTAGAATTCTAACATAATCCGGCTGATTTAAACGAATAATTGCCAAATTGTTTGTTTTCTCCATGTTTTTAATCCATTTGTTGGCCTGACCTTGCGGATCTATCATTAAAGCGTATCTTCTGGCATTTCTAATAAAATTTCCATTTATTTAGACATTGAAACTGACTAAACACAAATAGAAATTTTCGGAAACATTCCTTATTCATTCAATAGATCCAATGATTAGATCACAAATTTCAAAAACAAAAAAATAGAACAACATTTCAGTTTTATTATCTAAATTTCACAAAGAGAATGCACTACCATTAAAACTATAAGTGACCAAAATCACTTATGAGTTAGAAATTTATTGTAAACGTAATAGAGGTGTTAGACATAACACTTTGTAGTCCAAATATTGACCAAATGATCAGGAATTGGAGAGTTGCCAATGAACCCCCTCCCTCTCTGATCACAGAATCATAATGTTTGACGTAAGAGGAGTGCAGGAACAAACATAGACAACGAACCACTTTGTATAGAAACCCCAGAAATACAAACTGGAAAAAATACACAACCAAACTGCAATGCAACCTCGAACAAAATCCTTTTAGCTGCAAGAATATACATGAAGTAGAAGAAGCCCTTCAGATCCTTAACGGAGCAATCATGAAGGCATACGAATCCAGCTGTACCGGGAAAGAACAAGTAAACAAAACTGGTTGCCCATGGTGGAACAGTCACCTACTGTCTTGGCTTAGATCCGAGGTTCGTTGGCTTTTCAAAAAGCCAAACTAGACGGAGAATGGCAGGACTACACCGGAAGGCTGGCTGAGTACAACAGAGAAATGAAGACGGCCAAGCGAAAAAACTTCAGAGACTTCTGTGAATCTATCACAGAAGCACCATCAGTAGCCAGATTACACAAAATCCTGGCGATAGGCAGGGCGCATGGATACTTAAGAAACCAGACGGTAGTTACACAAAAAATGAAGAGCAACGAGCTGTTCTACTACTGGAAACTCACTTTCCAGGACACACCCAATGATACTGAAGAAAACAAAGGGCGGCCCAGGAAAACCCGGCAAGAAAACTGGGAAGTTGCCAAGAACAGCCAACCGTTCAAGTCGCCTGGAGTTGATGGCATCTTTTCAGCCCTGCTGGAGTCTAGTGGTTGACAACCTCCTACATTTATTGACTCATCAGGGCTTTACCTGCTTTGTATACGTCGATGATATTGTCATCATGACCAGAGGCAAATACGAAGGAATACTCTGCGACCTTATGGAAAAAGCACGTCGAACCACGAAGGAATGGTGTCAGACAGTGGCGCTGAATTTGCACTCAACAAAAACGTCACTGGTAATATTTAACATTTACAGAAAGAACGAAACTCCCAAACCTGCAAAACATTTGCCTCGATGGAAGCAGACTTGATTGAAAAAAAGAAGTTAAAAATTCCTAAGAATAACCCTAGATTCTGAACTTCTCTGGAAGACATGTAGAAAACACAAAAAAACAAGCAATCTCGGCCCTCACGGTCTGCAAAAACATTGCAGGTAAAACATGGTGTTGTAAGATGGATGTATACCATGATAGCCAGAGGTCTGACTATCACTTATTGAGCGCTAGCGTGGTATAGTCGAACCCAGTTAGTAACAGCTAGGAAAACCCTAGGAAAGGTGCAAAGACTCGCGTGTCTCTGTATAACAGAAGCAATGAGATAATGCCCAACCGCGGCACTAGAAGTTATTCTAGACCTCACACCACTCCACATAATAGTGAAGCGGGTTGCCAGTGGATCATGTCTCAGACTGGAGAAGATAGGTCTACAAAAGAAAACGCACCTTGGCAGAACTTTTCCTCTCTCAAACTGTGCACACCTCATGGATCTACCAAAAGACGTGATTGTTGATAATTTCAGTTTCGAAAAAAACTTTTCCATCGAACTAAGTACAAACAACAGATGGAACATGGAATCTATCCAATCCCTCAAAGCAAACACTATCAAATGGTACACAGACGGTTCCAAAACTGCTGAAGGAACTGGAGCTGGAGTATTCGGGCCACGGACCAAATATTCAGAGCGAATGGGTAAATTACCCAGCATATTTCACGCGGAACTTCATGCGATCGGAAGATGCGTGCAGTTCAACCTGAACAGTAGTTATTGGAAACGAGAGATTTTTATAATGTCTGACAGCCAAGCAGCTATCAAAGCATTGAGATCTCCGGTCATCAATTCTAAGACAGTATGGGAATGTCTACAGAAACTAAATGAGCTGGGAAAACATAACAAAGTCTTCTGGGTGCCCGGACACATAGGTGTCGTGGGCAACGAATGCGCAGACAGACTCGCAAGAACGGGAGCGTCTTCTCCTTAGCCAGAACCATTTTGCGGCGTCGGAAATGCGCTACTCCAAGAAATCCTCAAAAAAGGAGAGAACCGGCTAAGGAACAAACAATGGCTAAAACAGTCAGGACTACGACGCGACAGGGCAAAAATCTATTGAGCAACTTCAACCAAAAAAGATCAGAACTGCTGATCAACCTTAGCAAGAAAAGTCTCAAGACTTTAACCAGGTTTCTCTCGGGATATTGCAGACTTAAGAAACACCTACAGAAGTTGGGGTTAGAAGAAGGTGGCACCTGCAGTTTCTGTGAAGACGGGGAAGACACACCTCATCATCTTCGACTGAACTGCGATGCCGTTAGTCGCTCAAGGATGAAGAACCTGGGAAGTGCCCTTGTACAGTTGGAAGACATTCCAGCCCTGGAACCCCTTTAATCGTGAAACCTGAGCTCCCTATTTCAGGTGTATATTATAATTAGTTACCTATATATGATAATTTAGACCACTTTTCAGTGAAATGAAGTTATGTTCCTAACAATAATAGATTGGAGTATGGGTCGAAGTATTTCTGGTTGCAAAATATGCAGTCTAAATAGTAAAATTATAACCAATTTTGTTGACAACAGTATGCAAGTTTTGATCACGGATTTAAATGAAAAAGGGATAAACACATAGATTAGGTTGCATACCAACGTTAAATTTCCAAAATGTCGGATCATAAAATGCTGGAATAAATGAAAAGAAGAGAATTGCCGAAAATTTATAATGTTTTTATTCCAAATATAATCAAAATCTGCGAAACAAGGAGGAGATTGCTGTCATTCTCAGCAGAGACTCAAAGCAAACGTGTGTTCAGAGCTTCTCTTAAAGCTGTCGCTGAGTTCGGGAAGCATAGTCACTTCTTTCAAATGCCAGTAAAAACTGTTTTACCTAGCTAATAATAGGTCTGTTTCCACAGAAATCACAAACCAGTCAGAGCGATTTTCATTGGTGAAAATAGGAAACTGGTTGTTGGCGATTTGGACCAATCAAAAACGCTCTGACTGGTTTGTGATTTCTGTGGAAACCAATGAACTATAACCAAAAACTGGAATGCGCACACATATTGACGAACGTGAAGCCTAGTGCCGCTATTGCGGAAGGTATGCCTGTTTTTGTCGCACTCATTACGGTAAATGGCGGAAATTGCTTTCAACACGTATTCCAACAGATAAAACCTGTGTAGGTAAATACCGGGTGGGGCACGAAAAACTTTCCACCCAGGTTTTCTCAGGTGTTAGGTGTTTAATCAAAAATCGCTCAGACACGTCAATTTTTGTTTTTGGGGGGACACATTTTAAGGCCGGGACACATCTATCATGCATTTTTTCGATCCGACTCCGATCATACCATCAAGGTCCTCATTGTTGGAGGAGAATGAGTGTTCCGTCTTCGTTACTCATATTGGCAGTTGCATATCATTGAGAAAGACGGCACCCTCCCTGTTCCAAGAATAAGGATCCTGATTGTATGATCGGAGTCGGATCGGAAGAATGCATGATAGATGTGTCCCTGGCTTTATTGGTATTTTCATCCCTTACTTGTGAACCTCTAAGTGGGGGTGACAGGTACCCACAAAATTTCAAATGAAAAGGGGGGTCGAGTGATACGTCATTTGATAGCTATTTTCATTAAGATTATATCCCCGAAGTTTCAAGTTGCTACTATTTACCCTGTCGAAATGGCGGCTTGCCAAAGTTAGGAAGAATCAATGGAAAAATGCTGTGTGGTGTTTACCTGTTACCTACGCATAGGTGTGGCAGGTAAAAACTATCAGCTTAGATTAACGAAAAAAAGCCTTTATCCTAACTTTGACATGCCGTCATTTTGGCAGGGTTGATAGTAGCAACTCAAAACTTCGGGGATAAAATCCTAATGAAAATAGCTACCAAATGACATATCACTCGACCCCTCTTTCCTTTTGAAATTTTGGGGGTACCTGTTACCCCCACTTAGGGATTCACGAGTAGGGGGTGAAAATACCAATAAAATGTGTCCCACAAAAATTGGCGTGTCTGAGCGATTTTTGATTAAACACCTAACACCTGAGAAAACCTGGGTGGAAAGTTTTTCGTGCCCCACCCGGTATAACAAAACTTTCGAAAACGTCATATGTCAGCGAGCAACAGAAAAAAACAACATTCTCCTTTGTGGCGTCTGTCTTTGATGGCTTCATTTTTTTTAGCGGATATGGCAATTGAAATTATTTATTTTTTATTTCATGTTTTTTTGTTGTTAATTTTAAACCCACGACTCCTAGGATTCCGGCCCCATGCTCTAGTGAACTTTCAAATAATAATATGTAATAATAATGATAAATGCACCGCTGTAGCTATATGTCACTATTGTCACCATATACCTCTAGAAGGCGGAAGCCCAGGCTCGCGAGTTGAAATCCCACTTACAACAGCAAATTTTAACAGACTTTTTTATTTAAAACTCTGTCGTCCCTTTTAAAATAAGAGGAAGCTGAATTGGAACTGAACTATGATAGTCATTAACCCTAATACTAAGTGAGCATTCACACCAAAGTAGCATGCGACGTGCGACTTGCTGCTAGAAAGCAGGAAGCATGTTTTACTTTTAGACCCTGAGATATAATAGGGCCTGTTTAGTGGAGTCATTTTTTTTTTGTCTGGCATTTTGAGGGATGAATGTGGCTAGTTAGCTGATGACAATATAAGTGGCTTTAATGCCTGGCTCCTGTTCGAAATGTCCACAGAATTTTTCGCCGGAAAACTCGATTTTGAACTGTGA